TGACAAAAACAGCTTTGTCTTCCCCGCCTTTTCATTCTCTATCTCCCTGTCACACCACAAACACCCCCACCCTCCACCTTCCAACCATTGCTCTGGATTCTATTATGTTGGCAGCATCTTCTGGGTAGTTGAGCACAAACTGAGACAGAAGAACTCAGTTCGGTCATTGTGCTGCTTTGGAAATGACTATTTCTGTTTGTGTGTGTCAGACTAAAAGCAAGAAAGAAAGAGAGAAGTTTTGCAGCATTTCCTCCTCTTGCACATTGTAAATCCTTTCCTATAGTGGCAGTCACAGGCTAGTGTGTTGAAAGGAGATAAGGCCCTGAGCCGGCTGAAAGGAACGCTAGACCCATTGTGTCCCTGCGCTCTTCTCCCTTCTGCTATCCTTTCCTCTGTCGTGCGCGTTCAACAGACCACACGTTCGTGGAGCTACCATTAATGTCACCAGTGTAGGCACATTTTGATCAAAAGAACGGGGGGGGGGGGGGGGGGGGGGGGGGGGGGTTAACTGCACCGAGTTATGCTGTTTGATAGAAACGATTAGAATCATACCGAGCCTCCTCTCCTCTGAGTCACATGCATCGTTTGTGAATATGACTCGTGTACTTTAAACTCTATTTTCTTTGATAAAGCACTTAACGGGATGTTTATCTCTCACTTTGTATTCCAGCATCTTAAATGTGTGCAGGTCCTCCAGCTGCTCCATCATATTATGAAAGAGAGAGTCTTCCTGTAATATGGCGTGGTGTAACGGATCATTGACCCACCCACTCAAGCACACACGGCGGAATGCTGCTTTTACAAATTGCACCCATAGACCCCCTGACATTTTGTTTGCAATCAAGCAGGAAAGTATCGCCTGTTTGAATCATCCAGGCATGATGGGAATCGTAAATTCAATCCATGCTCTTGGACCAAGTACTTCATTTCCAGTATTGTCATCTTCAACTAATAAGAGTACTATCTATTACGGCATTACTGTAGATGCTCCAGCATATGCAATGAAGCTGATTAATTACCCACTCTATGTGCTTTGGTTAAATTCTGCATTTCAGATGGTGAAATTTGGCACGAGTATCGCAGGGATGTGTTTCATTCATAGTGTTACAACCAAATATGGCTTCAGAGGACTTATACGCTGGCATGAAGTTTTCTTTAACCAGAGTGCTAGGCTATGTGTACACGTGGTCATATCTGACCAAGAGAAGTGCAAACTTACAAAAGAGGAAGTGACATCTGATCAAATCAAGTGTTGACTCAAGAGCAGGATATGCAGCCTGAGCGAGGCGAGGGGGGACGGACAACAGCCAGTAAAATGTCTGCAGGCAGGTGAACGCGTCCCATACGTTCACATGAAAAAGTCAGTGCTAAGTATGTCTGTGTTTCCCAAGAGACAATATGTGTGTGTGTGTGTGTGTGTGTGTTTGTGTGGAAGCAGACAGTTGGTGGTGCTGGCACTGGAGATAGTGAGTAGAGGGGGATGAGGCGCTGTATCAAGTTGTGAACATCTGTTCCTCATAGAAACCACAAAGCTGGTACTGAGGAAATAAAGAGGATAACTGCTCTACTGCTCTCTCTCTCTCTTTCTCACACACACACACACACACACACACACACACACACACACACACACACACACACTCATCTCACTTTTTTCCACTCCTTGTTTACTCAGTACTTTTACCTCTTCTTGCATCACTATCAGCATCCATGTTTTTCCAACATTTTTGATCATCCATTCCACATTTATTTTCTCATATCTCTGCTGGAAATCCAGTGATGTAATCATTAAGCAATGGATAAGTGCACACAGCCGATGGTATATTTTTCATGTAGATGAAGTTTCAAAATACTATTACAAAATATGTCCCGTAGTTCTAGATGCGATAACAATTATGTAAGCTGGACTTCTAAGAAAGAGTGACATGGCGAAACCGCAAGACCAAGCATTTACAAAGAAGGAGGACAAAAGATAAACTGATCCACAGACTTAAAACTAAACAAAAGCACATGTGGTTGATTTTCCAATCCTAAAGTCAAAACTGTAAATGGATAGTTAATTAAGCTTTAGTCAATACCTAGTTTGCTTTTGACAATCAATAAGATTATTATTAAAGCCTCTAGTCACCCGTAGCCTCGTGCAGTCCTCAGAGATTTTGGTCCAGATTGTCATAACACGGTTGCTGCAGATTTATCAGCTTGACATACACGATGAGTCTCCCGCTCCACTACACCCTAACAGTGCTCTGTTGGACTGAGATCTGGTGACTGTGGAGGCCAGTTGAGTACAGTGAACTCATGTTCAAGAAACCAGTTTGAGATGATTTGAGTTTTGTAACCCAGTGGATTATCCCGCTGGAAGCAGCCGTCAAAAGATGGGCACACTGTGGTCATAAAAGGTTAGACATGGCCAGCAGCAGTATTCATTTAAGCTGTGAAGCTGAGTTTAATAGTGGTCATTTGATATTAAGGGGGTCAGTGTAAACTGTAGCATCAGTTTCCCGTTCTCAGATGACAGGTTTTGATCACTGTGGCGTTCTGTGTCTGCTTAAAGATTTGAATCAAGGTATGCAGAGATGCTCTGCATGCCTTTGCTGTAACGAGTAGTTATTTGAACTACTGTTGTCTTTCTCTGGGCTCAAAACCTAGGTTAAATCCCAGGAGAACAAGAATTTGTGAAATCCTCAGACCAGCCCATCTGGCAGAAACAACCATTCCCTGTTCCAAGTCATTTAAATCATTTTTTTCCCCTATTATGATGCTCGGTTTGAACTTCAGCAGGTTATCTAGACCATTTCCACAAACCTAGATGCACTGAGTTTCTACCATATGATTGACTGATTATATTTACACTTTACAGAGAAGCAGAACAGGTGTAACTAATGAAATAGCCGGTGGGTGTACACATAGTATTTATTACCGTGTAAAAAGTTTTATAAACATCAGCTGCAACTTAACAAACACGTGGCGGCTCACACATGATTTATAATACAGTTATTAGTATTACTCATTATTCTATTAATGAGTATTTCAGCGTTGACAGTGACAGTAAAACGTTTTAATTAACTATTTAAAATGACTATTATGAAGCGTAATTAAAAAGCTTTATTTAGAGTCTATGTTAGATGACTAATCGTGCAAACAGGTCTTTGGCAAGCCGGATAACAAAGAAAGCAACAAAGTTATGTGCTTATGTATTTATACGAAACTTATTACTGGTGAGATGCCTGTTTTTGTCAAAGAAAATTGTAAAGAATAGCCTCTTCATAGCTATAGAGGATTAGAGTTGGCACAAAATTACAAAGTCTATGATACAGCAGACATGAGCCAAGGCTTTGTTAGGGATTCTCTGCACCTTTTTCATCAAAGACCCTTGATTTAGTCCTTGCTGCTTTTCTTCTTCCTCTCTCCATCTCTCTCACTGCCTTACTGGCTCTATCTGGGCCTGCTGCGAGGTTGTGCGAGCGCTGGGTGGCAGTTCCTTATTGTACAGTGTCTATATGAGTGTGCGTCTGTGTGTATGTGTGAGTCTGTATGCTGTGTGCGACTGATAAGACCCAGGGAGAAGAGCCAGCATGCCGACATATTCTTGCCACCGCGGTTATCGCCTGTCGCAGCTGTGCCTGAGCTCTGCGACATCTGCTCCCTCACAGGAAGCCTATGCTGTGGCTCACAACACCTCTCCCTCACACACACACACACACACACACACACACACACACACACACACACACACACACACACACACACACACACACACACACACATATGTACATGCATGAACACATACTTTACTCCCGCTTCTCCATACAGTGAGAACATGTTACCGGACTGTACCCCCCCACCACCACACACACACACGCACGCACACACAGTTACATCAGGTAAACTACATGAGACAAAGAGCTGTGTTTATAGTTCTCAATGGCACATTTTGTTTTTCTCAGTCTACACATGTGTGCATGTGTGTGTGTGATGAATGGGCTGGAGCACCAACGCTGGAGTTCTACTGGGTTTTTATCACTGAATTACAGGGGGGGATGCTTATGACTAAGCCTAATTATAGAGGCCTTATCGCTGCAACGTTCACAAAGCTCATTACTGCCAAGAGACGGTATGCGCTGCAGGTAATTCACCACGTTGGGTATTAGTCCTCGCACTGGCTTACCGTTTCTACATATTTAGAGTCTATAAAATTAGGCTTTTAATGTCTGATTCTTAATGCATCTCTCTCTTCAAACCCTTCGCTGATTTAAGTGAAGGTTTTCATTTTTATACCTAAAGGCAGTGTTTTCACTTCTTTATGAATCAATTACATTTTTTTCTCTTTTTACTTTTTTTTTTTAACCTCACATGTCTTTTCATGTATTCCTCAGCTGTCTGCTCTCTTAAACCTGTCCATCTGTCATTCACCATTTTTGACCTTCAGGTGTATTATGAAACCATTAAAGCTCAACAGTGAAACTCCAGAATCTGGTTCTGTTCCTTTTAGCTGCTTGGGGAAGCCCAGAGGAAGACACCCCCGGCTCACCCACCCAACCACCAAAAGCTCTAAAAACCTCTTTCCTTTTCCTTTCCAGCGCCCACAGGATAAATGTGCTCCACTGGGCTTGGTAACAACAAGGACAAGTTTATTCAATCTAGACTGGTAATATGAAGAAATGGGGGGGAAGCGGGGGGGGCACGCAGACAAAAGACAAAGCGTTAAGAGAGCAATTTAACACCAGTTTTATTTGTTATAAAACAGGCCAAAAAAGGCCATGTTTTGATGCCCTTCTAACCTTGAATCCTTTTGCTTCAGTCATCAAATAGCAAGATGAAGAAACCTCACATAACCCCACATAGCATGTAGCACAAAGTCAACACAAACTGATTATACGTCAATCACTTGAACTTAATGAGCAGATCAGACCGCTGCGGGACCCTCCGTCACTCATCGCGATTAACACGATGCCAAAAGACCTTCATAAAAAAGGTCCTGTAAGATGACAAGCTCATACCTTCGCTATATCTGTAACGGCTGCTGGCCACCAGGTTGTGATCGAGGCTTCCAGGCTGGAGTATGTGGGCAGTGAATTTATCCCTCAGCTCGCGGTGGCTGATAAGTGTGACGGTAGGGACACGTGGAGCAAACGCTGGAACAGCTCTCAGGTCAGCCCTCTTCTGGCGCTCCAAATGGACCTCAGCAGACATGTTCGGACTTTCCTGTTTATTTGAGAGGTGAGAGGCTTGGAGCATGAGGGACATGCTCTTTGAAACTCTCTGGCGCACACTGGCAGCTTGCAGGTTCAACCGTGGAAGCAGCAACAGCACACTTAACACTAAAAGTTAGTATTACCTCCAAAGGCTTTCCTGCTGAATGTTCTCGTTCAGTTTCACTTGAGGATTTCCATGTGTTTCTTTACAATTTCTAGTTTTGCCTTTGAGGGCCCAGTGGATCATTCTGTGACCCGCTGAGCTGTTGTACACATACACGGACTTAGCTTCACTTAAGGCTCCAAAAATTGAAATAGACAGTAACAGCCAGCCTTTCCTTATATTCCTTTCATTCCTTCAGTGAATAAGTTTATCCTGGTTGAAGTATTCCTGGAATCTTCTGGTGTTTTTTTCTTTGCCTCTTGCCTGCGTGCAGGAAAGAGAAATAGATTGTAGTTGTATTCTGTTTTTTCACAAGTAAGTCTTTGTCCTTAACCGCTGTTCCCTTTAACATGGCACATCTTGCATGTAAATCCCCATTTCTTTCTTCTTCTTGGTTCACCCGATCCTCTCAGTCGCTCTTCTCTTCTCCCCAGCAGAGTGTGTGGGAGTTAATCAAGAGTGTGTGTGTGAGTGTCAAAGGCAGGTCAGCTTGTCTTGTGGCTCTGGCTGAGGGGTTGTGCTCTCATCTGAACCCTCCTCCTCCTGCCTGCCACAACAGCTCAAAAGAGAAGTGAGTGCTTGGATGTCACACTATCTGTGTGTGTGGTTATTTTTTCTGTCTTGAGGCTAACACCCCTGGGGAGGCCAGGCAGCAGTGCTGCTTGCGGTGATAGCTGCAGACAGCAGCACGCAGCAGGACCTGGGCCTCAGTCTGGGCTTCCTCTGTCAGGAACCAGCTGTGTCGGCCAGAAACCGCTCCTTCCCTTACTGCATCCTCCCTTCAGAGGTGCCCTCCTTTGCTTCTGTGCACCTTGCCCGGTGGCTATAATGATGCCGTCTGTGCTCCCTTGTTCAAAATCCTTCCTTGTTGTTCTTCCCCCTGTTTAATTTTTGGGTTTTGATTCAAACCAGTTACTTCATCATCGGGATTTTTCTTCTGCCTCGCTGCAAAACAACACACTAAAAAACTTTGGATGTTTCGTTTTTGTATATTTCATGGAAGTTTACAGAACAGGACAACAGGAAATACAACAAAAGCCAAAGTAACTGTTTATCAAACTGTACACAGAACTGGAACACAGCAAATCAATTAACCAGCTGACTTTCCTATAATAATCTGCTCTTATACCAACACACACACAGAGATGTATCTCAAAAGTTTATAATATTAATCCATGTTTTTATTAACTCCTAAAAAGTAGATGCTCAGGACTTTTTAGTCCTGGCTTGGTTCATGGTAGACAGATATTTAGTCAAAGTAGTTATGGGACACAGTTATCTATTTTGTTATTTTTAATATACATCATAGGACTAAAAAGCTAGAAGTTGGCCATCAATTCTCCTGACCAGTGATAATATTAATCGTAATAAATGTGTTTATTTCAATTAATTAATAAAGAAATACTTTGATTTCAGGTTAAATATAAATATTAAAGTAGCATACTAATTGTCAAAACTCATATTTACCATTATAGCACCATAATAGGTCATAATAGAAATATAAAAATGCAGTTAACAACTTCAATATTCTCTTTTTTTCACTAACCATTTCACCAGAAATTGAGTGGACAGGCCAACCGACCAAATCCACGTTTTACTTCTCTCTTTTTTTTTTTTTTCGATAAATGAAGGGTTTCCCTGTGGAAGTTCTTTTTCCCCACTGATAGACAAATGGCGTGTCTTTATCCAAAAGACACATGCATATGTCTGCCTCATATTAGTCCAAAATAATAAAAAGCTTATAACTCATGTCCTCTGTGATTACTGACTGTCTGTATACACTTCATACTTCCTCAATGGCTTTCTGGTGTCGTTGACATCAGCCAAATTAAAGATCGTGACATGATAATTGTTTTGTCACTAATATTTTTAACTTTTTTATTCATTCCTACTACGTGTGAGCAACATGAAGCTGTTGCTGCAAAGTAGAAAGAAAGTAAGTAGGACTACAGCTGCAGTGGGAAAGAACATGCTGAAACAGGACACATGCTCTCACACACAGGAACCAAAGACATCGACTTTTACCTACTCTGGCCTCTGACCTGGGGGCTCATTGAACAATAACCATAACACAGAGTCCCAGCATTAACCCTCACTGCTGCTACACACACACACACACACACACACACATTTCCACACAATTTATGTTTGTGTATGTCGTTTACTGATGAGAGAAGTGAGAGGGGATGTGAGTACACAGATGTGCCAAGTGCCTGGTTGAAACTAACACACAGATGGTCATCAGCAGAGAGGAAGTGAGAGAAACCCATGTTGCTTTCTCTGACTTTGGGCGTGGGGAACAAACAGTGTGAAAGAGAGAGAGAGAGAGAGAGAGAGAGGGAGGGAGGGAGAGAGAGAGAGAGAGAGAGAGAGAGGGAGGGAGAGAGAGAGAGAGAGAGGGAGAGAGAGACCTGATTTCTCTATAAACCAACAGTGTGTGAAGAAGATGAAATTTAGGTGTTTTTTAATGTATTTTTATTAGAACAACCATTGGTGATTTCCCAGTCACAGGTATTCAAACACAGAACATCTGCACTCTGTTTTAAAGCTGATATAATTCTGAATAATAGCAACAATCAAACTGCTGTTACATTTCATTTAGGAGTTGATTCTCTGACGACATGATTGCATTTTGGCATGGATTTTTAGGGGGGTTAAATAAAAGAGCCCCGTCAGTGAAATGAAAATGAAAGCTTATGTTTGTTGGAGGATATGACAGCTCCTGAGAACATATGAGGAGAACATATGAGGAGGGGACGCTGATCATATGTTTGGAAACACATTACAAACAGCTACTGGGCCAGAAGATGGGGTAAGTTGAAAAAAGAGCAGAAATCAGCCCTACATTAGCTCTCTTTGGATTGTTTTGTGCTGTGATTCATAGTTTTTATCCAAATAGAAATAAGATGAAGAAATAAACAGGATCAAATAAGACCGAGTGGAATAAAAGAAAGTGATTTAGACGCAAAACCTACAAAAAGACCTTTATTCACTTAACATCAAACAACATCTAAATTATTAAGTTCCTTAACTCTGACTGAACTGTTAAATCTTCTTGATTGTAATCCTTTCGTGTGCCTATATGCTTGATTATATATACATAAGCATGAAGCAGTAATGGGCAGAAAACAGATGAGTATCCGTTAAATGTAATCCCTATCCTATCCTATTTATATCCTATCCTATGTCAAAAAACACTAAATGTCTTCCTGAACGTATTTTTGGCTTTTTGCTTTGTGTGCCTCAATCTGAACATGTGAACACACACACACGCACACACACACACACACACACACACACACACACACACACACACACACACACACACACACACACACACACAGAGTTTTCTCTGTTACCTGTTAGAGAAGCCTTTCCTCTCTTGCCTGCCCCCCTCCCCTCAGATGTTGGCAGGTATAAAATGAGTTTTGGGGGAGAGCGAGATAATGATTCCCCCATAATCACCAGAGGCCAGGTCTGGTTCTGGCAGGTGCTATCACAGTAGCGACCCAGTGGTGCCTTCTCCCCTGAGATAAGGTCAGGGGGATGATGCGAGGGAGGATGGTTGGAAGGGAGGAGCAGAAGAGGAGAAGAGAACAGGGCAGAGGGGGGCAAAACGTGAGTTACAGACGAGCGGCTAGCCTCGCCTTATCTCCCCCCAGCGGCTGCCACTGCTGGCTCCCAGATGCGGCGGGCCAGAGCAGCCGTGTCAGAGAGATCCCTCTATCAGCGACACGCAGGCACCCCTCGCCAAATACAACCCCAGCAGGAGGACACACCAGGACTTCATTACCTCTTTAAAACTCCAATCAGCATTCAGAGAGAGAAGCAAAATAATCTCTAACTTTGTTGCCGTATCAGAAATCCAGAGGAAACGCACAAAAACTGCGATTGTTGTTTTCTAGCCAGGTTATTAATTGTCTCGTCGCAACAGCAGCTCCAGTTCCCCTGCCTTAAGAACGCAAACACACACAGAGGTCTTTCAGCATGTTGGTCAGGGTTTAGACGAAGTGCAACTTTTCACCTTGTGCAACAAAAGTGAAGCTTGTGAAAGTCAGTGGTTGGGACGTCTGGCGTCTGGTGGCGAGAAGCAGCCATATGGTGAAGCGGCTCGCCTGCCTGTGAGACACCTGGCCACCACTAACTGGCTGAACTTTTCAACTCTGCAGCCGTCCTTATCACACTTTGACCGAACAAGGTTCTTCTAATGGAGTGACTGTGCGCAGATGCAGAAACACACAACTTTAATTTGACACCACTAACTGAAGATTAAACCTTCTAAGAAATTTGGGTTTGTTACACTGCTATGAAGCTACTTTTATAGCAACTTGAACATAAAATGCTTCATGTGTTTATACTTCGATGATCTAAATTCATAAAGTACCGGAACTGACAGCATTAGTGATACCCACTGAACCCACAGTAAACACAGCTCATGGGAATTTGTTTCCACTTGCAAGCAGTGATAAAAGGATGAATGAGAACACTCAAGGCTGGCGTGTCTTCCAAAAGAGACTAACTACAATGATCTTGGACCAGTGTGAGGAAGAGAGAAAACAACACAGTATACGCCGACAACCTCCTCATATCAGTGGAAACACCACCACCACTACCAGACAAATACGTCAGTCGAGGCTTGTTCGCCTTTTCTCTCGGTGGTGTTTTTAGAATACACACCTGTTTGGCAGAGACAGCTTCAGAAAAACCTCCAGATCTTAACAGAACTCTATAAGTTAAACCGTCCCCATCTGTCACAGTCGAGCTCCACACAGATGCACACTGAGCGCCTCCTCTTTTTTTATCCTTCTTACAGCAGACTTGGCACTCATTCAAGAACTGTCAAAGCACACCTGCTAAATTAAGCCGGGCCTCATACTCGCACAGACACAGAGGCACGAGTTCAGGAATACACACAGCAGACACATGTGCAGCTGGACGCACATCACCAAGTGCGCTCACATGTGGATGCTGATATATGGACACCTTGAGGTGACTGTTGTTGTGAATTGGCGTTATATGAAGAAAGCTGATCTGAATAGATTATGATATGGACTGCATGCAGTGTTTTAGATTATCTTCAACGGCCTGTTTAACTAATTTTTTTTTCCTTTGGTCAGTTTTTTTTGACAGATGTGTTACATCAGGAAATTTGCTTTTGAAAAGTGCAATATGTTACTATAATTAGTCATATATAACAAGTCTATTGTGTCCCAGCTACATATAACCACATTTTTTTATTGCTGTACACACAAATATGTAATCTATTGATGCCCAACTCTCTTGACCCCACTAAACTCAGTCTCTTCCTTCTCTCTTCTTGTGGCTCAGCCGCTGAGCTGCTCTAAATAGGTGCCACTGTGAATTGGAGACAGATGGAAACGAAGGTTCCCCGCAGAGTGGTTCCCCTGCAGCTGTGCAGTGTACCCGGTGCCAGGGAGTGATGACAGCTCAGCAAGGGGCACCCGGAGAAATAGAAGACAGCACCATCTCCGTCTCACCCACGCA